TCTGCGCGCGGTCCGTTCTCCCGACCGCCCCTCCTCTCCCGGCAGACAGGCCCCGCCGCGGCTTCAAGGGGCAGGGGTCAGATCCTAGGCTTGGCCTCCGGGCCTCGTGGGAGGACAAGCCTGGAAAAGGAACTGCGCAGGGCGCAGAGTGGCTGGAGGGAAACGGCCAGAGCGCAGGAAAGCCGAATGCGGCGCGCGGTGGACCCAGAGGCTGCCTCTTCCTTTTCGCCTTCGCGGCCGGGACCTCTACCCTAGGCAGAGGGAGGCTGTGCGCGCAAAGCCGGCTTTCACCGAAGGGCGGCCCTCTCTGCACCTGCGAACCTTCAAAAACCTTTGGTACGCGTCGAGCGAGCGCCCAGGACCGAGCGCCGCCGGCAGGTGCGCAGCAAAGACTCCTTGAGTGAATTCCTCGCCAGTTCCCGGGCCACTCAGGCAGTTGACTGCCCACGGCGCGGGGGAACCCTGTGCAGGTCACAGTGAGGCCACACAGGTCGCGCTCCCAGACCCGAGGGCGCCGCTGCCTCCCAGCCCCGCCTGGCGCTGGTTTTCTGCGAGTCAAGATCGCGGCCAAGCGATGAACAAACTCGAGTTAGCGCCTGTTTCCTCTTCAGTCCCGACTTTCCGTCTTCTCCCGACCCTGGGAACCGCTCAGTGCAGATCTTCGCCCCTCACCCTCTTCACCTCCCCGCTTGGGTTAAATCATCAATTCCGCACCCTGGGCGCACTGGGACCGCGGCTTCCCAAGCCCCTCTCCGCCTTCACTGCCCTCTCCCCTCACGGCCAAAGAAAAGATGAGGCCGGAGCCCTCCTCGGCCTCTCAGGCGCTCTCCGCCATCCGCTGCCCCAAGCGAGGTGCTGCCGCGGTCACCCGGGTTTCCCCAAAGCCCCGTCTTAGTGGTGCGTAGTTGTGGCCCGAGGCAGGTGTGGGATCTTCGCTGTTAGGGAATCTGAACCCCAGCTCAGGAGGCACTAATCGGCTGTCCCCCGCCGGATAACCTTTAAAATTTGGCTCGCTCCTGAGAATATTTTTGTGACGCGAAGAGGAAGTTCTGCGGTGCCTGAGGCTGCTATCTGAATTTCTGTATCATAATCTGATAGACTTTCTCTATATTTTTCCGTGCCTCCCTCTCTATCCTTAAAGGCAGGAATGGAAGGAAGAGTGGACCTGCCCAGAGTTAACAGTACTCCTAACCCGGGAAATGGGTTTATTCCGCCCCTTAAGAAATGGCCTGGAAAGAGGACTATAAACAACTCCAGGGAGCAAGAATTCGTAATGCGAACTGCGAAGGGAGATTCACCCCACGTGCCCCGCAGGAGACCCAGGAAGGCAAGAAAGTGTCGTGGGACATCCTCGAGAAGTCGTCCATCCAAATACAAAATCAAATATCCTTTTCCCACAGCTTCGGGGTTCGCAAGGGCTGCAGGAAGCAGACATTTTTTAGGGGACCAGGAAGAGAGGAGACTCCCCGGCCTGCTTCCCCTTTACCGTCCCCAGCCAGTACGGGGCGTGGGTTGCCCTGCTCTTCTGCCAGCAACCTGGGGCCACCGGTGTCCACTGTCCTTTCCCCTGGTGCCCGAGAGACTACGTGGAAATGGGTCAAAAACAAGGGCAAGGGGCGGATAAAACGCCCCACCTGCCTACAGGCTGGAGAGAAGGGCCAGCAGGATCCAGATGAGTGTGTCTGCTGAGTTGGGGGAGCTGAGATTCAAAGGCAGCTCGGGAGGCGCTTGGGGATCCGTGATGTGAGAACTGGACTTTGGCGTTACAGCCCCGAGGGAGGCAGCGGACCGAGGTGGGTTGTGCTCAGGGATGAGAAAGCGACCCGCGACCCTAAAACGCGGGCCAAGTAGCCGGGATCCGTCAGTTTAGAATGAGGTCCCTATATGAACCTATCCGCCCTGCCCCGCAAAAAAGACACCGAATCCTTTAGACGCGGGTTGGAAGTGACCCCGACCGTGCCGCTTCCTTCCATGAGGAGTCCGGAGCGCTCTCGCCGCGCAGGGTAAGGAGCCTGTGCTTTGAGTGTCTTAGAAAACATTGACAAGAGGCGGGAGCAAGACTACGCCCGACGACCGATCGAGATTAACGGGGAGAGGTCTACTTCTCTATCCCAGGTCGTTCCCCGGGTCGCCCCTAGCCTACTCCTGCATGAGATCCCTCGGCTGGCGACTCCGGAGTTTGTCCAGAGGAGGAGTCCGAGCCGAACGCGTGCAGGAACCGGACGTCCGGGGGCTGCCTGAGCTGCGGAGGCAACCGGGCCGCAGGACCTCTGCGCTGTGGAGCAGGAGGAGGGCGCCCAGGAGCGAGCAGAGGCGGGGGGCGGGGGTAGAGTGGTAAGGGAAAGGGCAGAGTCGTGGGCAGAGACCCACCAAGAGAGAGAAATTGTTACAATGCTTGGAAACGTTTTCCTGAAGGGAATGCACCTCGGCCACCCCTAAATAAGCAAAAGAATATTCCGACTCCTGAAGAAACCAACTGAATTAAAATTCCTTCTTCTGAAACGCCCCTAGAGGCGAGGGCACCGGAAGGGCTGAATCTAGGGCATCCCTAGACCTGCGCCCCCAAGTGCTCTATTTGTGGTGGTTCCGGGAGATGAAGAAGCGAAAGGTGTATGGGCGGGGGGTAACCCAAAGCTTCTAGTTATCGGGTTGGAGGCACTTGGTTGGGTGAGCCTTCTGTTGTCTCCGTCCTCCAGGGTTTAAGAACCCAGGCCTTGGGATTCTCCTTCTTGCTCCCTGAGGCCCAAGGGTGTGTCCCCCCACCCCCTACCCCCACCGAATACTGAGGCCACTGGGCCCCGTGACCCAGGAAAAGGAATTATTGTGTATGTATGTGAAGGGACCACAGCCCATCCATTCTCAAGTCCTAGTACCAAGAGCTTAATAGCCCAAGGGATAGGGTACAATCCACACACATCCCAAAAGAAAAAAAGCTGGTTCTCAAAGTCTTCAGGGATGGGCCTCTCAGTTTTGGCTGGTGCCTCCTTCAACGGGAGGTCGCAGTGGTGTGGCAAGACAAAAGGAAGGACAGACCACCCCTTCCTGGTTTGGCACTGCTGTGCCACACAGGCCGCCCTGGGGTGAGAGTCCTTTCCTCTACCTCATTAAGTTTTCCACAGTTTGAACCCAGACTCTGGGCCATGGCAAACGGTAGCTCTGGAGGCAAGTTTTGGGCATTTTAGAAAAGCGAGTTCCTGACATGGGACATCAAAGTTGTCTCTAAGTAAGAGAAACAACAAGTGAGGGTCTGAGAGAAAGAGTGTTGCGAATCCCAAGAAAGGCTGTCAGAGACAGGCCACCACCGTTCCCGTCCTAACAGGCAGGCCACCTACCCACTACAGCTATTAGAGTACACATGTACCCGGTAATAAGGACAGCAGCGACACACACACATATACACTCCCCTCACTCAAGCAGAGCTGCAATCAGATTAAGGAGGTGGAGTACCTTTGCCAGGGTTTGTGTTTCTGCTTGTTCAGGAGCCTCTGGTGGGGTGGGGGCAGTAACGAGGGCAGCGAACCCCCAGCGCCTTCTACAGACACATCTGAGTCATCAGTAAACTCTCCAAGGAACGGCATAAACGTGGAACTGATTGCCAACAGTTGACACAAAAAAGAGACAAAGAATAACTGTAGGATGTAATTAAGAACAACCTAAATAGGCTTGAGTGAAGCTGTCCTCTCCTAGCTCCTTCCCAAAAACTTCCCAGGGAAACCCGCTGCACGCGCTCGCCTGCTGGCCCTTTGGGGTATCTCGGGGGCAGAAACCTTGCGGTGGAGAGCCAGGGCGCGGAAGGGCGCGCTCGTGCGCCTTGGTTCGTAGCTAGGCACCATCCGTGGGTAAACCTGGCCTCACTTAAAATAAACCCCGAGGATATAGCTATGGCCCCACTAAAGAAATCGTGGTCGGAAGCACAGACCCTTGGCAAGCGGAGTGAGGGAACCCTCAGTGTCTCCACCGTTTCCAGAGAAGTCCTGCAAACAGCGCGAGCCTGCAGAGCAGGACTCACGCGGCACCCATCGCGCGCGCGCGCGCGCGGCCCCCCAGGACACGCTTCGGCCTCTGCACAGATTCTCCACCACTAACTCTCCACTCGAGAGTGAGGGACAGAGACAAATGTCCTTCCGGAAAGTACCTGCGCGCGCACACTCATACAGAGACCTGAGGATAAACACTGCCAGAGTGCCCGCTGCCTTGCTAATTTAGGGCTCAAGAAGAGAGCCGGCGGGTAAGCAAAGCGCCCACGCACCCTAGACGCTCCCCTTCCAAATCTGAGCCACCCTAGGCTCCTGTCCTCTTGTGCGCAAAGACTGAACCCCGAGTTCGCAACTTCGTTCCGGCGCCTCTCCCTTCCCTGCATTCCTCCGCTAGCTGGAATGTGGCGAGCAGATTCCCTCACTTGAAGCAGTTGGTCTCCGGCGGCACAGGCGGCGGGCGCAGCGGCAGCAGTGGCCGGGGACGCACCAGGCGCGCACGCTGTGCGCGCCGACCGCGGGGACCCAGCGTGCGGCCCAGCCTTGGCGCCGCCAGCCCCAGGGGGCGGCGGACGCACTCTCCAACTTCCCGCCAGCTGGGGTGAAGTTGCACAAGCTGCGTGCAAGCTTTGACGGCGGTCCCGCGGCAAGGGTGATTTTGAAGGCCCACCCCTGCGCAAAGGCCTGGCCTGCAGCACACTCCCCTGGTGTTACCAAACAGACTCTCTCCATCGCGCCCAGAAAAGCCATGGGCTAGGGATGCAGGGTTCAGTCCCCTCGGCTCTCCTCGAGCACGGCCCGGGAAATTTCCACATTCGGCCCCAAAAGCCAGGAGACAAGCGCTTCAAACGCACCCTAGCCGGTGCCCCTGCCCCGTGACCGCCTCTGCGACCCGACCACCGGCCCCTCGCCCCGCCCGGCCCCTCCAGCTCCGGCTGCGCGCGGCGCCCGGCCCTCCCCGCACCGGCCGAGGCTGCTAGCTGCCTTGTTACGAAATTAAACCAGCGAGAAGGACGGGTGTCTTACGTTGCATTGGCACACCGAGCATCTCCGGGAGCCCCTTGACAGCCCCCTCCGTGGGGACAGCCGCGCTCTGCATCATCTCTGAGCGAGAGCCAGCGAGTTGCAGCCTACAGAGATGTCTTGTTCTCTCGCTCCAGCTGGATTCAGAAATTTGAAAATAATAATAAAAAACCCAACGAGGCCGCCGAAGTCACGGGCGAAGCTGGGCCCTCCGCCTCTCCGGGAGGACTCCACAGGCTGGCCGGCCCCCTCCCCCCGCCAGCCTTCAGTCTGTTTCAAATCCCTTTGATCTCGCTCTCCCGGGTTGGTGGTGCACATCCCGGGTTGAGGAGACGCTGTTGCTGCAGCTCTGGCTTTTTTCCCCTCCTCCCTCCCCCGCCCGCTCCCCTCCCCCTTCCCCTCCACCCTTCGCGTGCCGGCCGCCCGGGAGGCCGCGGTCACCGAGGCATTTTGATTCATTCACACTGCAGGAGCGGCCGTGACGTCGCTTTCCGCAGGGAGGCCCGCCCTTCAGCCGACCCCCCACCCCCAACCTGGCAGAGGGCGGCAGACCCCGGCCCGAGTCGGGGTCTGGTCTCCCCTAGAGAGACCCGGCCGCGCAGGAGGGCGGGGCCGCATGGGGCGGGGCGGGGCCTGGCGGGCAGCCCCCCGCGCCCCGCCCCGCGGGCGCGCGCCCGGGGTATAAATACTGCGGCCGGCTGGCCGCGGCAGCAGGTGGTGCGAGACGGCGGCGCCCGGAGCTGCCGGGTTTCCGCAGGTCTTCGGGGATTCCGGCCCCGGCGACGGCTCTCGTCCTCCTCGTCCCTGTGTTCGGACCAAGGGGCGGAGCGGGGCAGACGCCGCAGGCCCTCCCGGAGGCCAGGGCCGCATGGCTGTGTCTTCCCCTTGCGCGCTCTCGGTCCCCGGCTTCTGTTCGCCGGCCCGAGCGTGCTAAGTAACCGCATGACTCCATCCTTCCTCCTCCTTCCCTCCTCTGGCCAAGTCCTTTCCCGCCGGCGCTTCCCAGCCCCTGCTCTCTCTCCCCCGCGTTTGGCTGAGGCTGGGCCACGGACGACCGATACTCAGCCCGAAACGCGCGAGTCACGCAGCGGGCGGCAGCGGCGGGCGTGGAGGTGGCGGGGCGCGGGCCCCTCCCGCGCGCCCCCGCACGCTGCGGTCTGCAGCCCCGCGTCCGCAGCCCCGCGTCCGCACCCCCAGCCCAGCTCCGTCGGGACCAGGCGCCTCTCCGCGGCCCGGCCTCCGCTGCCTCTCTGCCTGCATCCGCCTAGCTTGGGCCTGCCCTCGGTCCCTGGAGACCGCTTCCCAGCCGACTTCAACGGCGGGCGCTTTCAACAATTCCCGACCGCATGCGTGCCGGGAGGCTACGCGCACACGGACCCCTAGGTGAACCAGCAAAGGAGCTTGTGAAGTTCATTGTATTTACAAGACACACATAAACACTAAAAACTAATCTTCTTTAAAGGCGAGTTCCCGGCGGGAATAAACGAGGCCCAGCGATGGGTTGAGGTCTCTGCAGAGGTCCTCTAACGCCCCGGAAGGCGCTTCCCCAGATACTCGACGCCGCCCGATTGCAGGCGCGGGAAGCCCATCCCGCCACCCCAGGATCGGCCTCCCTCGGGATCCCAGTCTCTGTGCCACCCGTATCCCGAATTTCGCTCCTCAAATGAGGGCAGGCGGGTCCTTTCAGCCTAGTGGGGTCCAGCACGGGTGGGAAGGGAGAGTGTTTGCCCTCCCCAGCCTTCTGGGGTGTTTCCTACTCTTTCTCCTGGCGTGTCCCTGAGAAAAAGGACCTAATTCACCCAAACAATGTCCCTGCCCACCTTCCAGGGTTACTGAGGGACGTACACGAGGGCGGGGGAGGATATCGTGGCTGTTTGCGCTCAGAATTTCTTCCAGTGATGTCACAGTGACTTCTATGTGTCTTGGTACCGGATCAGCATCATCTCTTCCCCTGTTTACCTGCAAGGTGGCTCCAGTGCGCGCGAAAGAGAAAATACGTGCAAGAAAAAAGCAAAGAACCCGGTGACATTTTCAGTGTTTACCAAAATGGTTTCTAGAAAAATATAACTAGTAAGCAAACACGAGGAAATGCCATCTCATTAGCAATCAAAGACGCGCAAAACAAAACAACATAGCACATTATGCCTTACATTACGTCTGTTAACGACCAACTCAAAAAAAATCGTAGAATTCAGCACTAGTGAAGGTGCTACGGAAGTGGTGTTCTCATAGATACTGCTGGTGAGCTTATAAATTATAAACTCTTACATCCGTTTGGAAAGCAATTTGGCAATATGTATCAAAAACCATAAAATTGTTCATACCTCTTACTGATGTAATTACATTTTGAGTGTCTATTCCACAGAAGTAACCTAAAATTTGGGAAAAGTTTCATACGTGAAGATGTTTATTACAGCCGTTACGTATTGGAGAAAAATAACCTAAATACCTAACAAAAGAAAAATGGTTTCCTGAAGTATATTAAATTTGCTTGCTAGTATGTCATAGTTATTGAAACTAACTATGAAATCTAACGGCATAGGAATGTTTGTGAAATACTAAATTTTTAAAAAGGAGGCTGCAATATTATACAATTACAAGTATGTAAATATGTTAGTCACAGATAAAAACTGTGATAATACCCATTATTGGCTAGGGTGTGGGGAAATGTGAGAACAATTTTTTGCTGGCGATGCAAAGAGGGACAATGTCTTCTGGGGGCATTTTGGCAATATGTTTTATAACCTTAAACTGTATTCCATTTGGCCCAATAAATTCATCTAGAAATTTATTCTGTGAAAATAATATTAATAAAGATGTATTTGCAAGGATGTTTATAATATTATTTAAAAAGAGAGTAACCTAAATGTACAACAGTAGGGGATTGTTAAATTATAGTAAATAAAATGGAATGTTATGAAATCATTAGAAATAATACAACAGAAGAATATTTAATAATGTAGAAAGGTGTTTGAGATTTATCAGCAAATGGAAAAAAAGGAGGATATGAAGCAGTATGAACTTAAGGATCACATTTTTTTTAAAAAAAAGAAGTATAGATAGAAAAAGAATCCAAAATGTAAAAGTGTGGTTATCTATACGGTATTTTTATTTTCTTCTTTTTAATTTTTATCTGTTTCCTCGATGAGCACATTATTTTATAAAGCACAAAAAAAAAACTAATAAAAATAGTTTTTTTTTAAACATTGAGAAAAATTGGAAGGAAATATATTGAAATGGTATTCAAAAGTATATTAGGGAGACGTATTGTGGAACATTTTTTCCTTTTTCTCTTTTCCAGATTTTCTGTAAAGTGGTTATATTTTTAGGTAATATTAGTAAAAGATAAAATATTTATATTTATATGCAGTGAAATGTGGAGCATATGTGACAATTACTTTTATAATTTAAAAATTATATTTTAAAAAATGCTCTCTGCAGCTTCTGCTCCCCTGGTTCATCCTTCCTGCCCAGGTCCTGCCCTCCTCCAATTGCATGTCATTAGCCTATCACTGGGGGACAGGGGCAGCATTACTGTAGTGGGGACTCTTCTGTGCCCAGGGCTGATTCAGGAGATGCTACTTTCATCTCCACCCAATGGCAGAAGAGTTCTGGGAAGACCTCTGACTTCTGTTCTTGAATGTGTGGGCAGCAGCTCCCCAGCACCCCTCTGCTTCCCCTCCCCACATACGCACAATGCAGCTCAGCCAATAAATGCCCTTTCCACATTTCAAGATTTTTCTGAAGGCATTTGCCACCTGGTATGAGCTGGGTCCCATTCCCGAAGTCCTCCACTGATATCCACACCTGCCAAGTCATTTCGCTTCCTTCCTAGGACCTCAGCTTTCTCATCTGTAAATGAGGAAGTCCTAGTAAAAAGTTTTTCTTGAACAGACTTTTTAGTGCCTACTGCTGCTGATAGTAACAACAGTGTAATAATATATGGCGGTAACAGTAATAACCACCAACATTTATTGTAAGTTTACAACTGTACCAGGTACCAAGGTACATACTTCTACCTGAATTATTTTATCTACTCCTTAAATCGATTTAATAATTGGTATTATTATACCTGGAGCCCTGGTGGTGCTGTGGTTAGGAGCTCAGCTACTAACCAAAAGGTCGGCAGTTCGAATCCACCAGCCGCTCCTTGGAAACCCTATGAGACAGTTTTACTCTGTTCTATAGGGTCACTATGAGTCAGAATCAACTCCACAGCAACGGGTTTCATTTTGGATTATTATACCTACTTTGTGGATGAAAAACCTAAGGCTAACAAGGGCTAAACAGTCTCTACCCCCAGAGAATGGGAAAATGGCTGAATCCCACAGAGGTTGGCTAATCTCTGCTGTGGAGTGGTCTAGAAGGACCCTCAGGGTGGGTCTCAGTTTGGATTTAAATCTCCAAGCTGACTTAGCAGGGCTTTTCTCACTGAAGACAGGGCTGGCAGGTGGCCTCCCAGAGCAATGGCCCTCAGAGCTGACCTCGGACCTCCCCCTTGGGCTAAGACCTGGTTGGAGGGTTGGCACCAGGGGATCTGCCTCTGGTGACGTTTGGCTTTCCCCAGGTCTAAGTTCTATCAGGGCAGTTGGTCAATAGCTGGTAGAAAGTATCTAGTACTTTCTAGACACTTAACACATTGCATTCCTGAGAACAAAACCCACCATGTCAGAAGACCCAATTCCGGGGGAAGAATCTCCAGATATTCAATTTAGGAAAATAATTACAGCTTACATTTCTCCAGGACTTTACGTTTTACAAACTTTTCCACATATGTTATCTCATTTGATCTTCATAATTACGTCTACGCTTGGGTATGATTATCAGGAAACAGAGAGGTTAAGTGAGTTGCCTAAGGTCACACAGCTAATAAGTTGCAGAGCCAACTGGAAATTAAATCCAGCCTTTTGACTCTCAATCTGGTGCTGTTTCCACTCTGCCACAGCAGGCCTGTGTCTTCTAACCTTTCCATTTTAACAGCTTCGCAGAGTGGGTGAATTTACCCTTAAATGCTAGGAATCCTGAACCCCAGCCTCTTTCTCCACTGGGGGACAAATCTCACTATCCCTGCTCCCCTGTCACCCCATCTCTAATCATCTCCTCCTTGTCCTCATTCCTCTCAAGCCCTCTTTCATCATTTGCATTTTGAAACTGTTTCCTTAATTATTTTCCTGCTGTTGAAACCTGCTCTCCCCGTCTCTCTGGCATCCTTTGATTTATCTCTGTCTGGATAACAGCTCTCCGATTCTCCTTGGGGAATTCAATTTTCATTCATTTTTCTGCTGCGCTAGATTGATATAGACCCTCTGC